CACCAGAGAAAGTCAAAACCCACAAAGTAATGCTGCTCAGCATCCACTGAGAAAACTTGCCATGCTTTCCTGCCAGTGAAGRCCCTGAAGATGTTTTTGTATGTCACAGTACATCACCTCTTGGAGTGCTCCATTTCTCCACATTGTGGGTACTTGCTGGATGTTTTCCACCCTGCCATGACACAGCTGTGTGCTGAGCACACGCTGTATTCATCATTTTCACTTTCCTGTCATTGYGAAAGAGCTCATGTTTGGATGCTGTCCTGACTGCTCCTGCAGATGTTTCGCTGTGCTTGTTGAAGGAGRCTGTGCCTTGGGTCTGGCACTGCACCCTGGTGAGTGGGGTGCCCCAAAGGGACTGGGCTGGGGTGGCTGATGGCACAAAGAGGCAAGTTTAGGGCAAGGAGGATAAATTCCAGAGTTCAGTCCATGCACAGCGAACACCTCCACATGCATGCACTTCCTCCACGATGAACGAAGTGCAATGTGTGTGGGCAGAGAGATTCAGAGCACAACCTCAGAGGCATCACCAGGAAATGCAGCAGACACAGTTAAACCCAAGTTTAAACAGCAATAATGGAATGCTGGCTCTGTCTCCTCATGGATATATTATATGAACGTGACATCTTTCCATTTCATTGCATTCTCTACAAGCTCTCCACACATCGTTCACGAGTAATTGTATCTCACATATCCAATACCTCTCTGTCTAAATGCATTTAATGATTATACCATTTTCCTTCCTGCTAGAAATGCCTCTTACATTTGTTGCCAGCTGAGTGTGATTTGTACAGACAGCCTTGTCCYCTGTTCCATTTTAGCTGTCTGTCGTGTAGATTTGACAGCTGTGTCAGATAAATCATATTTGCACTGTCGCAGTTGTTGATTTTTCTTWTTTAAATTTACATTCCAGAAGCCAAAAATCACACTGGATCAGGATTCCTATAACTGCTTGTCTTACAGGAACAAAGTAGAGCTTTGTGATTTTAGGTTTGCTTTGACTGAAGAGCTACTGCTTGTCAGAAGGGGATGGGGGCAAGTTCAGATGTACCTCATGGTAGGGAAATTAATGTCATGACCCTCATCCACTTCCATATCCCTCTGCTTCATCCCTGTGAAGTGCTTTGGGGATTAACACAGTTCCAACCAGAGCTTGCAGTGTTAAATCCAGGCTCTGCTTCAGCTGAAGAGGAAGTGGAAAGTAAACATTTAAAAGATGCAATGAGAGAGGCTGGTTTGCTCCCTCTCCCAGGACTCTCCACTGCAGGACCCTGATGTTTTCAATAAACAAATATCAATTTTTACCTCTTTTTATTATAATTTTTTCTTTCCCATTTTGGCTCGAATGCAACCTGGCAAACAGGAGAGAGCTCATCCAGACTCACTGGATGTTATGCCACAAGSATGGCAATGGGCTGACCAAATCAGAGAAGATGGGATGTTGAAAACAGCAGCCCTGGACTCCTGCTGTGGACAGATACCTGCTAAGACAAAGCCCTGGGAGACTCAAAACCCTTCCTGGCAGAGCTCATGGGCCACAGGAACAAGCCCCTGTGTCTCACAGCAGGCAGATGTGAGAGAGGCACAGCCCAGGACCTTGTCAGACTGAGCAGCCCTTCCCAACAGCAGCATTTTCCCCCATGGGAAGGGGATTTTGGATGAGAGCAGAGAGTCTGCCAGCACAGAGGAAAGGCTGCCAGACCACCTCAATCCCCACGCTTCAGGTTTCCTGCATTCCTGCCWGGAATACCCAAAAGGCCTCATTTTCACAGGGAAACATGAGCAGGTCACTCGCTCCTGGCACCTCCTCGCCCTTCCACAGGACAAGGGGAYGTGTTGTGAGGGGCAGCCAACTGTGGCAGTCGCCTGCAGGGTGGCAAGATGATATTTCTGCTCAGAATCTGGCAGGAACAGGGACAAGAGTGCTGAGTGGGTGCCAGCACAAGATTCAGGCTGTGTTGACTTCTCAGGGAGAACATGCTGTACCAAACGTTTCTTATTGTATATCTTACATGAACAAAACATTGAGCTCACCACCCAGCACTAGCTCTTAATAAATGCCAGTGGCTTGCTCTGCTGCATATATTGAAGCTGTGTAGTGAAATCAGCTCAGAGACACACACAGGATGCTCTTTTTGGTCTGAGCAATCATTTCAGCTGAGAGTAATCACCWAAAGCTGAAAAAGGAAGCCACAAAGGCATTTTGCTGCACAAATACATCAGAGACAGACTGGCCCTTGTAGGAAACCATTCCTTCCATCTCTCTTTGGGGAAAGACCATCTGACAGGTCCAGAAGTGCTCCAGGACATCCCCCTAGCCAAAGAAACACTGCTACCACTCTCAGCTTCCCTCCAAACCCATCAGCATTTCCAGGTGGTGCATCACAAAACACCCCTTCCACAGAGGGCTTTCCTCTCCCCTGACACTGCTGCACCACAGCAGAACCAAAAACCTGCTCATAAATTCACCTCCCTGCACTTGCAGAGTGGGCAACCCTAACAACCAAACATGCTCCYGAAGTCCCTGCCAAACCTGTGTGAATGGCTCCAGTGTCCCAAATCCAGGCTGGCCTGAGCAGGGCTCCCAGGCTTGCAAAAGRGCTGCAGGACTCCTGCCACGGACAAGAGGATGCATTTTTTAGCAGACCCTAAGGCTGCATTTTATAGGAGACACCAAGGCAACACAGGGCTTGCAAGGGACCAGGGTGGGAGGTGTATTGGGGTCTCACTGACAGAGATTGCAGCACTGCACAGCTATCAGAATCATTTGCAAATATCAGCAAATTTTTCTCTTGAAAGAAAAAAAGTAGCTTCTAAATTCATAAGGAAAAAAAACCTACTTAAATTTCTGTCCACATTCTCTTGCTGAAAATCATGAAAAAACAAACACAACATGCGGAAACTGTGAAACCCCTCCCACACACACTTTTTCCGTTAAAAGTCCCTCAAAAATCTCATGAGAAACTTGTGCATGATGGAAGAAATTCTTAGAGCTCAACACTAATCAGTTTGCTCTAAAAATAAAGTAAAATCCTTGATACTGCACCTCCCCTGCTTCCATATCAGGTTCCTCTTGAGACAGAGTTTTTGGGATGTTTGTTTAACCACACTACTCAAATTCATGACCTATTAGAGGTACAAGGCAGATCTAGCAAACAAAAATGTCACACTGGGGTCACACAGTTTGTCACTCTTGCAGAATATGACCTTCAGTGTACACTTCTTTTGAAACTGCATTTTGAAAGAAGGAATTTTCCTCCCCTCTCAGTTCACCTCACATTTAATACTCTTGTTTTGTTTCCCTGTTTCTAGGAAAGTAACACTGGGTGCAGCTCAGCCTCAGCCCCTGCAAGTGGATRTCAATCCCTGCCCTCCAGCAGACAAATGTGAGCAGAAAACAGTGGGAGATGCTGCATCTCTGCTCTCTCCTCAGCAAAGATTAATCCTCATTTYCTCTAATTTCTTGCAATATAAATGTAACTGGATCTCAGGTTCTTGTCATMTTTCCCTGTCAGCATAAGTCTGCACACCAGGCAAAGGCACAATCCTTGCTAAACAYTTTTCTTTTTTAGCAGGTCCAACCTGACAGGTAGGGAATGTGCAGCCTGTGCATCCTCTCAGGACAGGAGCACAGGTACCACTGGGGTCAAATGGAGCAGAGGAGCTTCTGTTTTGAGCCTCCAAAGATATCAATTAATGTCCCACCGGTGTTCATTACTGCCCTGTTATTGCAGCAAAGCTACAAAGCTTCCACAACCCCTTATTACCCCTCTGAGTCTGCTGCCTCGAGCACCTGGTGATTTTCTCAGGGTGCTGATTTGTTTTGCTGAAGCACAACTGCGCTGTCCTCATTGCTAAGCAATTAACAGTTTGTCCTTCCAGAAATACCCAACCCCCAGACACTATTAGCTCCTCGGAACATTTTCAACAAAAACATTCCAGGGGAGCTGCACTAGCAGCTCTTCCACTTTCAGGGATAAGCTGAATTATCCACGTAGCTCACCACAGAACACCAGAGCAGGACAGGAACAGGGGGGTATTTGTGGTCAGGCCCTGTTTTGCCAAGTTCTGCACAAACTTTTCATCTCATGGCTCTGAGGCTGGCACRTTTCTTGTACAATCCAGTGAAGAAATTTAACCCTACCCAAGGGGTGAAGGATGGCTCCTGCACCAGGTTCCCATGGCTCTCAGGCAGCAGGGAGTGCTGGGACTTCCAGGGATGCCAGATTGACCCATGGACCCAACAGTTAATGCAAGCCTCATCAGAGATTATTGCCTGAAACTAATGATCTTTTGGTCTCTCAGCCTGGGGAAAACTGCAGGCAATCAAGGAATCTTGATCTTTTAGACTGAGCCTAGCAAAGGGTCCAAGGGGACCAGTAACTCTCCAGCAAAAGAAAATTTCAAATAAACATCAAAAGGAACTTCAAAATAGAATCAGTATTTTCCAAATACTTTCTTTCCTCACTCATTCTTTTAGTTATAAACGAGTACACTCACACCATGGTTCCGCTTCTGGGTGACAAGACAGAGTCAGGCTTTCTGTATGCAGTACTCTAAATTTACAGTAGTAACTGACAYTTAAAAGGCAAAAAGTCCACAGCATCAGCAAGTCCTTGCCACGAAGACTGCTGGACAGTGTGTGAGACTCAGCACGCTCATGTATCACTTTCTGCAGAATTTTTGTCACAAATGACCCCACCGAATGAAAGAAAGGACCGTCCAGCCTATGGACATCACCTGCTGTGAGAAAGGGATAAAAATGTGCACGTGGCTGTACTTTCCCACAAGAATACCCTCCCACCTTCAGCAGTTTGCAGAACCATGTCTCCACACATTCTCAGGATCGCAGGGTGATSCAAGCTGGAGTATATTTGATGCATTTTACATACAACATTTTTAGCTACATATTTAAAAAAATAAAAATATACAAAATAAATGTCAAAATATTTTCTTACAGGTAGGTACAGAAATATCTGTACTGCTTTATTTACACGTTCTCTAGTGAGAATCTCTTTTAGAAAATCAGCTTAGGGTATAATACTCAGCACCTACGCAATTGTAGCTATGGTGTAATGGTCCTTCAGTATATTTAGGCTTTATGTGTTATATTWAACACTTGCCTGATCTTAGCCATACAAAAAGCTGATATTTAAAATGCCATCAGTATAGTATTTGCCAGAACCTTCCCTCTGAGTCAAACTTGAGTTCTTCCTTGTGGAAAGGAAGGAGGAGCAAATCCCCATGTATGACAAGAACAGATTGTCCCTCAAACAGCTGGTGAACGAGCAGGCACCAAACAAAGGGAAGAGGAGAGAGGAATGTTCACCCCTGCAGGGACACCCAGCTGCACTGACATCACCCAGTGCCTACAGGAAAGCCTCAGGCTCCCCTTCTTTGCCCACRGGGGTTTCAGGGTCTCTGAAGCCGCTGCCCTTCCTGACAGAGGAGCTGTCACGGTGGCTGCTGAGCTGGTGAACCTGCGTCTTGAAGAGGCGGTGCAGCCTCTCCTGGAACTGGTTGCCGATGAAGCAGTAGAGCAGGGGGTTGATGCAGCTGTTGGCAAAGGCCATGCAGATGCCGAAGGGCAGCGCCGTGTCGATGAGCCCGGTSACCTGGCAGCTGTGGATGATGTCCATGTGAGCCAAAGCGTTCAGAAACGTCAGCACGTGGAACGGCAGCCAGGAAATCAGGAAGGCCACGACAACKGCAGCCACCAGCTTGAGCACTTTGTCCCTCTTCTGCCTGCTTTTGCCAAACTGCTGCGCTTTTAGCAAGTGCCTCCTGATCCAGATGTAGCAGGTGGTGATCACGGCCAAGGGGATGAAGAAGCCGAGGGTGTTTTTCAGGAAGGCTGTTGCCACRGACCATTTTGCATAATTCTCATAGGGAAAGGCCATAATGCAAGCATTGACCCCCAAGCTTTCAACATAGTGAGTGTCTCGGAAATAAAACGTTGGGAGGGAGGACAAACAGGCGAGGCCCCACACAACCAATGCTACAAAATAAGCTTGCTGTGGAGTTCTCCTCTGGGAGTGAATGGGATGGACAATGGCGTGGTACCGGTCCACRCTCATGCACGTGATGAAAAAGATACTGGCAAACATGTTCAGGCACAGGACAGAACTGGAGATCTTGCACATGAGGGACCCGAAGAGCCAGTTGTAGCCCTGAGCGTAGTAGGTGGCCCAAAAGGGAAGGGTGGCCAGGCACAGCAGGTCTGCCATGGCCAGGTTGAAAATGTAAATATTGGCCACTGTCCTGGGGGCAGAGTGACGGCACAGCACCACAACCACCACGCTGTTGCCAACCAAGCCCAGAACAAAAACCACAGAGAAGAGGGCTGGAATCAGTGAAAACTGATAATCTGAAGAGGTAAGGGGGCACGGAGAGGACGAGTGCAGTGCAGCTGATGAGTTTGTCGGTGCTGTAGACAGGACCTGGAGACTTTCCCTGCTGGTGATGACCAGGGAGTAGTTGCTCTGCATGTTGGTGCTGGTGGAAAGGGAGTTTCTTCAGGAAATTCATGGGCTGGAAGCACTTTCCTATCACATCACTCACCTGCAGATCAGAAACTGTCTGTTAGACTTGCACTCTGCAACTGCCTTAGCTCTGAAATCACACAGCCACAATAAAATAAAAACCATTTCAAGTTATGTCAGTGAGCTGAGTGCTGAAACACCAGGCAGCCCTGCTGAACTCCTTACCTCCATCCCACTGACAGGACACAATTAGCCCTAGGGAGGTCACAGCACTTTTTAATTAGCCTGGCAGAGAAGGGAGCAGCTGGGGTTTATCTGTGATTACAGATGGTGCTTTCTGTGGCCAGCAGAGCAGAAAGATTATGGACTCAGGAGCTGGAGACACTTTGGGAACTCCTGTGACCCAAAGGCCACAMTGAAGCTCCTCGTGACCCTTTTCTGAGCTTTCTCATGCTATTTTCAGCACTCTGAGCAGTTCAAACAATATAAAAAGGCAGCAGTCACCAGTGGAGATCAGGTACAGCACACCTGAGGGTCTCCTGAGACTCCACAGGCATGAAAGCAGCCTTTTAATAAATCTATTAGGAAAGCAAGCTGTGATTTTTTTTTTTCTTTTCAATTCACAGGGCTGGATACAAAGACACTGAAGGGTCCTTCACTGTCAGAGTCCTTCTCAAAGTATATCTGCATCTCCCACCCTTGTGACAGCTTAATCAGAACAGTAAAAGACATAATTTCAATGTAGACACAGGCAATAAACTCAGTCCTTGCAGCCTTGAATTAAACACTACTGTGTGCCATTCATTTAGAAATATCAGAACTGGGTTTCAGYAGGGGAAAATAAAGCTATAAAATAGCTAAAATAAGAGGGTTAATAGACAGGTCAGTTCCATTTGAACAGCTTGTGTCTGCACTCTGAKTAGGACATTTTTGAAACACTAAGACTTTCTAAGTCAGAAAAGAAGATACGGTACCAAAGTATTATATTTTATGTAATAGAAAGAGGAGATTTCTTTTTAATTAAGTTTTTGTGAGAGCAGCCAAGCATTTAAGAATTCTCAAGGAGCCCTAAAAATAACAGAAATTTTCACYGAGACAACAGATTTGGGTAAGGATCTCTCATTTAACAGAAGGCAACTGATCAGTTCAAACATATTTTTCTGTGTCGACAGTTTAATGTACAGTGGCTTATCTATGTGCTCCATGCAAAATATGCAATGGCTATACTGACAAAAATTTAATTTAAATATATTGYCCCAACAATGAAAATTCAGCAGGGGAATTTCTGCAGAGTGCCGGTATTTAAAGTCACAAGTAGTGGACCATAAGCCCATGTTCTGTATTCAAACAGGTCCTAAACCCAATGAAAGCATTTTTGTTTGAGARCACAAATATTCAGAGGGTCCTGAGTCTCTTAACTCATGTGTCCTGAATGCTCCACTTTAACCTACAAAAGCTGAAATCCCAGAAGTATTCACAAAGCATTACTCACCTCAGTGACTCCTGTGGAGGGACCACACCATCATTCCTTGTGGGTACATGAAAGAGAACAAGGTTTCATTGACAAACACGCTCCCCCTCCGCTGGTGAACAACTGGTGCCTGAGGACCTGCTCTGAGCTGCTCATTCCTGCTCCTGCTGCAGACATTCTATCAAAAACTGAACCAAATCAATGGAAATCCTGTTCTAACAGCAGATAGAAAACCTACCTCTCAAAGCTCACACTCGACTGGATGAGGCTCCGGAGTTCTGTGCTCCTTTTTCCTCACTCCTTCTGCTGAGTATCGCCACCAGCAATCTGCTCTCTCATATCTTCCCTTTTCCCGCTGGGAGACTTTAACCTACATAACTCCAGAACTGAAATATGAATGCCTGCCAGCTTCTTTTCCTTTTGGAAGCAAAACAGTTCGAGAACCCCCCTTTCCAAGGCCACGTGAGCACATGCAGTAAATCAGAAGAGAGCAACAAGACAGCCAGCAAAAAAAAAAAAAAAAAAAAAAAAAAAAAAAAAAAAAAAAAAAAAAAAAAAAAAAAAAAAAAAAAAAAAAAAAAAAAAAAAAGAACAAATGAAGTAAGCAAGAAAAAGAAAATTCATACAAATATCCCTGTGGTTTTCTGCTGTAGCTCTTGGGCCAGGGGGATACACCCACATGCAGTCCGTTTCTGCCCTCCACGTGCACACACAACAAGTGGGAGCCTCCACGCAAGGATTTGTGCATCTCTGAGGGCAGGGGGATCCCCATGCACTCTATGGACTCCCAGCACTTGCTAACACATTTGAAAGAGAAATAGGCTGTTAGTCCTGGCAGAACTGAGCATAATGTGAACTCAGGGGGACAGAAAGTGGAGGAACATCACGGCATTCACACCAGCACTGCCTATGTGAGGGGGCTGATCCCATTTTCCAGTTAGGGTGGGAAAGCCACTGCCCTGTTCCTTGAGAAACCATGCACACTGTGGGACTGAGGGGAGCAGCAGGACAAATCCACGTGTCTGACAGCAGGCTTGGCTCTGAGTATGCCCTGGGGTAGGACATGACCAACACGAGCTCATGCCAACTCCCACTCACACWAACCAGAGTTTTTACATCTGCTCCTTCCCTGCATCACACCCTGTGCCTGGCCCCAGCCTCCCCTCCCTGGAAGGAGCTCCAAGGGGGATCCTGGAGGATAAGAACAGGGGGAAAGGAAGCATCCAGAGGCTTAAACATTTTGCCCTGGTGCCTGAGTGTGAGCTCCTCTGCAACAACAGCCTATCTAGTGGGGACACGTGCTGTGCTCCCCAGCAAGGATTCGTGTGCCAGACAGAAAGCAAACAGAGTTCCTGCTGGTGACGTGTCCCTTCATCCCAGCCAGGTGCTGCTGGTGGGCTCTCCATCACTAGCCAGTGCTGCAGCCACACACATCCCATCCTTTGAACACCAGCACAGCCTTGGAGCGAGGTGTGGTGGTCTGGGGAAACCTCCTTGCTGCCTGCCCTTGCTCCAGGACTGAGCAGCACACCCAGGACAACAGGCATCACCAGTTCTGTGCACCAGAGTCACCCAGAGAGGAGATGGAACAGGGAAAACTGCACTTTACCAGCATCTTCAGGGGAATCAAGGGCTCAGCASGCTGTGGAGAACAATCTCACCTTTCTGCCCAGCTATGCCTTTGACCAGAAAAAGCTTCAGAGTGTTGAAAAAGCTTATCAGCAAATTCATATACATGCCCTGGAGGGAGCACTGCATTCAAGGCAGAGAGAAGAGTCCTYGGCAGTTTTTGTCTTTATCTGCCTCATAACTCAAAGTCCAGYTTTTAGCATTTTCTGTGCTAAAAGGACAGAGTTATTTAAGGAAAGGGGATTCCACACAGCATTTCTATTTACYCCAGTGCAGCGATTTATGGCTTCAAGGACACGATGACAAAGCAGTCAATGGTCAGGGCTCTCAGGCTGCAAGCACACAGTGCCTGTGCTTGGAGCAAACACTGCAARAGAGAGAAAGTCCTGAGTCTTGCTGCAAAGGAGAAGAGATGCACCTTTTGCCACCAATTTCCCCTCTTTGCACCCTGCCTGGGGTCTGCAGGACTGCTGGCTYGCAGGTGAGTGACCTCAGATGTCAGCACTCACTCTGAACCATATTTATTAATTTTTTTTGGTAACAGGATGTGACAGCACAGCCTCAGGCAGGAATCCTTGCTGCTAGTTGCTTTGCACACAAACAATCAGTAAAAGGTTTTGCTCCATTCCTCAGCAAACACCCAGYGAAGGAAAAATGCATGAGATGCACGAGAATGTTTATTTTTCAAAAATAACAAACACTAGTTGTTTGGATTTAAATATAAAGTTTTCCTTTCCACACAACTTTTGATCCTCACAGATACTGACTGTGTTTATTCTGTTTTACCCACAAAACTCTTTRAGACTTTAGCAGACAAGAAATGGCCCTGGATGCACCCAGTTCAAGGGGGGTCATACCTCAGGCTGCCCTTTGACAAATCCTGCTCCCATTCCTTCCCCTGCCAGTGCTCAGTGAATCTGATTCCTTACTGATCCCAGGTTCTCACTGCAAAGTTATCTCTTATTAATGCAAGGTTACAAAAGCTGGGAGTTTTCMACACAAAACCTGTTTGATTTTAGATGAGTAGAAGCTTGCAGTTTCTGGGAGTTGGATTTGGGGAAGGATTTTAAGTATGTCTTTTATACCAACTAAAAAGAAGTCACGGCCCAAGAGGAGCAAATTGGCTGCAGGTYCACACACAGCACTCAGGTTTGTCTTTCTGTCCTCAAGCCTATGCACCTAAAGAGGTCAAGAGGTCACCAGAAGTGCTTAAAAAAGACCCCAAACCAAACCCAAAAAAACCCCAAACCACCGCCACGTATGATTCAAATAGCAATTTCTGATTAACTGTATAAATAAACAAAAGGATCCATGCACTCCAAGTCCCAGGTCTTGGATTTTACAGGGAAGTGCTGCCGCTGTCAGGGATGGAATATTCCAAGCAAGCAGCCTATCTGACTGTGCCAACAGGCTGTCAGGGCTATTCTTGAGGCTAAACCCTGCCAGCCTGCCAAATCCTCAAAGYAATGTGAGATCCAGATGCAAACTGTATTCATGAGCTGGATTTGCTCCTTCTGGAGAAAGCAAGATAGGAAATGAATCTCTCCTAAACGTGCTCCCCAGGATGCATAGCCCAGCATGGATCACCGTGGCTCTGTTTGGAGCTGATTTACAGCAGGATGCCCTGACTCCCTGGTCCCAGGGCTGGCAGCAGGAGTTTGGGATCCAGCACACACTGCCAGGGCAACAATGATTTTCACCCTGCAGATCCTGGGATTAGTTCAGTTGGATGGAGCATGGTGCTAATAACACTGAGATTGCAGGATTGATCCCTGCGTGGGCCATTCACTTAAAAGCTGAGCTCMATGATCCTTGTGGGTCCCTTCCAACTCAGARTTTTCTGTGATTCTGKGCTRTWAATCACAGATTTTTCTGTGATTCTGGGCTATGCTGTGCCAAGCACCAGGCCTTCTGCCCACGCTCCCCAACACCATGCCTCCTGCATTCTCCCAGCACTCCATAAACTT